TCTTTAAGTTGGTTTTGTTAATCAAGATTCAACTTTTCTGCAATACCCATGTTTTCCCCCCTGTTATTGTTGCATGTTCTGTTTAGTGTTTTTTCCCCTCTTTGAGTTGGTGTTGTTAATCAAGATTCAGTTTTTCTGCAAACCCCATGATTTTTTAATGGTTGTTTTTTTGTTCTCTTGCTAGTTTTGTAGTAATGATTGTTAATTGCTCATGGGTGTTGATGGTATTGATGAAAGATTCAAAATTTATAGTACTTGTTAATAAGTGCTTTAGTAATGTGGTCGGTACTTGTGTCCTAGAGTAGACTGCTATACTAGTTTCAGTTTTTTTCTAGTTCCTCAAGTAATTTAAGTGCCAAGTTAAATTGCATTGTGTAAGATTGCATTCGTCGATATGGGATTTTAGTATACTTAATGCAAGACAGAAATATCACGACACATGGAATTTGTTGTGTCCACATAATCCATATGGAATGAGAAGGGGGGAATGTTTGGTAGAAAGGCTAATCTACGGTATGTAAATTTCTGAAGTACTGTGATTTCAAATGTTAATGTTGTTTCTATAGTATATATCAGCTTATATTCATCCCGATCTGAGCTTGTTGGTGGGTAGTTGGTTTGGCTCTATCCAATTGTATACAACTATGTTCCTGCTTAACTAAGAGGTGAGAAGTTTATCCTACCATGTATCGCAGAGAAATGTTATGCTTTGTCTTCCTGAGGAACTAAAGTATTGTGTTCAATTTGACGGTCATTCTGAATTTGACCAAACTATTTTTATCTTAAGACGTCCTGAAAGGCTTGACACTATTTCACTGGTAATTTTATTATTAAATTTGTACTGGTTTCAAGAATTCAAATTATTTGACTAATAATAGTTACTCTTAATTATTATATTAATACTCTTGTACAACCACTCATGTAATCCACAAGTCAAAATATAATTTGAACCGGTGGCGGAACCACATGTAGTTGACACCCTTCGTCCGAAAATTAGAATGTGTGGCTAAGTAATTTTCTTTGGCTTATTCGTGGATTTGCTTCTTTATATTTTGACCCCCCTAGTGAAAATCCTGGCTCAGCCTTTTGAACTCAAATGGTATGACGTGAGAAGAGATGGAGGGAGTACATGCTTCTTGTTAAAAGTGGTTGAACATCAGTTTCTCCTGTGATTTTCAGGCACAAAGAATGGCCTTGATGTCTCAGGCAGGTTCTTCACATTGCATTTACTCTGAAAAGATGAAATGTATAAGTGGACACAGCAGCATCACGAGCAATATGGAGATGCTCAAAATGAAGGACATATGCTTTGGCAATATTTCTTCACGGAATTCCTCAAAACCAATGCAAGGGATTTACTTGGACCGCGTTGGGGTGGAACGTAGGCGAGGACGCTTGGCAATTGTTGCTGCAAGTCCTCCAACAGAGGATGCCGTTGTTGCAGCAGAGCCATTAACAAAAGAAGACCTTGTAGCTTATCTTGCTTCTGGATGCAAATCCAAAGAAAAATGGAGGTTCAAAGTTTAGCTTTTCTTAGTGTGCTTAAATTTCAGTTGCATATAGTTTGCCAAAAAGATGAATAATCATTTTCTCATTTGTCCATTATAAGTAGATTAGTTAGTTCATTCATCACATATATGCCAAGCATGTTGAGTAATTTATGGATTTTTTCATCACTTACGTATTTTTGTTATACGACTCATTTGTTGTGCCAAAATTCTTTCTTGACCTTCTATTGTAGTCTATGATATGGTAAATATATTTTACACCTTTTGCATGTCATTATTTTTTTTGATCATGTGGGTAAATTTTCACTTTCCATAAAAATAAATAAATAAATTATTGTAACCGTTCTCACTGTCATGCATTTGCCAAATGTGGGTACCAGGGAATTAAGACTTGATCACAGTATTTCTACACCGAACTAACAAGTTGTATCATTTGGGATCCACTTTTCATGGATCATGTATTTTTGCATAGATTTGGTGATAAGGTTTCTGCTTCACGAGTAATTTGAATATTTCATATTACTTGACTGTGTATTTAGACCATATTAATCAGTTCAACCTTTCTTGTTCTCTGAAAACTCCATGAGCAGGATAGGCACTGAACATGAAAAGTTTGGTTTCGAGTTTGGAACTCTGCGACCCATGAAGTATGAACAAATAGCTGAATTACTAAATGGTATTGCCGAGCGATTTGATTGGGAAAAAGTAATGGAGGGTGACAACATTATTGGCTTGAAACAGGTAGAACATGAACTTGGTGTTTTTATGCAAACTTTGGTCTAAGTTATTATAGGATGTATTCATCATGGCTCTATACAATGTATTCTGTAACTTAGCATGAATAGAAGCACCATTCCTGATTCATTTTTTTTCTTCTAAGTGTACTGTAGTAACTGTTCTGACTTTACTTTAACATAATTGGTGGATAAATTTGCACCGCGTTCGAACAGGGAAAGCAAAGCATATCACTGGAACCTGGTGGTCAGTTTGAGCTTAGTGGTGCACCACTTGAAACACTGCATCAAACTTGTGCAGAGGTTAATTCACATCTTTACCAGGTTCGTACTTTTGAAACTCCGTCAGTTTCTTTTCTAGTGAAATATTGGGCAATTAAAGATCGATTGAACTAAGGGGATTGGAACGAAAGGGAATCTTATTCTTTTGAGTTGGAGAAATCCTCCGAATGTGTTGGCCAGTTTTTGCTTCCAGGAAGCGGTTGATGACTTATTTTGGTACCGGAATTTTCTCAGTGTGTGCCTGCTAGTATGCTTGCTGAAGCACGTACTCCCCCCCC